CTGCTTGAATCTGGGGGGGGGGGGTTGTCAGCTTCATGGTCGACGGGGTCGATACCAGGCTAACTGCAACAACTTACGCATCATAACCGTAAAAACTACCCAGCAAACTTAGATCATAACCTTCCATGATGATGGCTGTTGAGAAAAGGAGGGAGAAGGCGATGGCTTTGGGGTATAGGCGGAGGGCATCGCGGATAGTGAGGGTGTGTTCGCGATCATTGGCTTCGCGCGCAGCAGGGCGCTCAACTTCGTCAAAGGTCATCTTGTCGGGATCGACGTGCTCAACCTGAGCGAGATCCTTTGGTGAAGACATTGTCGTCCAAGGTAAGAGATGTTATGAAGAAAGGATCTCTTGTATGGAGAGGAGAAAGGTGAAGTGAAGCTGATGCTGGGAAAGAAAAACAAGAAGAGAAGCTGGGGAATCTGGGGATCTTTATGCTAAATCTCCACAAACAGCCCGTTCTCTCCAGGTTCCAGAGGGTTGGCTTGGGCTGTCACCCCGGACACCCCCAGACCAGTCTAGCCAAGAAACATGTCGGCCCGACATACTCTTCAACGCGAGACTGAGCTCATCTTCGCCAAGAGCTGAGCCTCGTGATGGCTTCAAATCTCTCGAGATCTTCTATGTCGGACCGACATGATCTTCGATTTCTCGTCAGACCATGGAATTTGAAGAGGTAGTTTGTATGGGGAAACGGGGTCATGAGATCGTGGAGGTTTTTTGTATCCTGTCGGTCCGATAAAACAAACTCACCCCGGATTTTCTACTCCAGACCGGGGCGAAAGGAGGGAGGATGATGATCTTTACCCCTGTAGGTTTAGACAAGTCGGACAAGACCGAGAATTTTGCATGCCCCTGAGGCACAAGACATCATTGATTCATCTAGCTCGTGAAGGGGAGGAACTTGTCTCTCCATTGAGGTGAGAGCTTAGCTTGGCGGAAGTTTTTAACTCTATTTTTCATGGCGTATTATGCTTATGTTTATTGAGCGAAGAGGGTGTCGAGCGAGTGCCATTTCATCATCGATGTTGGGCAACGTGACCTGCTTCATGGGGACGCGTTCTGATTGGTCAATGGCCATGTCGTGTCAGGAAGCGAAGCGATCGAGGCTACGGAACCAATTGATCCACCCTTTCACCCGATCGCGCGGTATGATCAGAGGTGATATTCGCTTAGGAGAGTGACAACACGGGGACGTGAGTTGTACAGGGGCTTTTCTGTTTGGTAATTGGCGTGGTTGAAATGTCCGTTTTGGGTAATTAGTCTCCTGAGGATCGGAGCCGTGGTGTCGAGAGGTGCGGCGCTTTTATCCACGGGACCATGCGAAAATATCGTTGATGAGAGTCAAGCGCCATGAAACAAGGTTTTTCAATACGGGCGGGAAGTTCCGAAATGTAAGTGAAAGCTGCTGGGTGGGATTGTTACCATTGAACTTCTGAAATGGGTGTGACTACCCTATAGCATCAAAGAGATAGAACCAGATAACGCAGATAATTCCAACACGGAGCCAAGTCTTTCATGGAGCGTCCCAGAAAACCACTTTGGCTTAGAAGTTTTTATATATTCACTCGTAGCTCTTTGTTGATTTCTTACTCCCTGATAAGGCTCCGTTATGACGCTATCTCACTCCCCAATCTCAACCACTAACTTTGTACAACTGACGCTCTCAGACATTTTTTCCAAAGCGCTGTTCAAGAACTTCAAACCTCTTCCTACGACCTTTGGCTCAGGGCTCGGTCTGATGTTCCCACTGGACATATTCTTACTCAAGTAATTACCAATCCAATACTTGAACTGCTCCAGTCTTTCCTCCTCAACCGCCGATGGCATCACGAAGAGGACCTCAACTCCATTGACGTTCTCAGCATCTGCTGGAATCCAAGGAGCCGACCCAATTTTGGCAGTTATCTTCCTCTCAATAGAGCTAATGTCAATAAATTCTTTAAGAACGGCCTGACACAAAGAAAGGTTTCCGGTCGCGAGGAAACAATATCGAATGACCAGCCCGTCTTCTTTTGCAGCGGCGACAATTGACTCCACGACCTTTGGGTCTTTATAGTCGAACACGCGATCGGCGCCGAGTGAGCGTATATAATTGTGGTTTGTTTGTCCTGCAGTAGCATACACTGCTGCAAAGGGAGACTTGGGATGTTGGCACAACAGACGAGCTGTTTGCACGCCCATAGTGCCGATGCTGGATGATGCGCCCCAGATCAGAAGCGCTTCTTTCTTCTCAGCCTGATCAAGATCTTGAGAAGATAGTTCATCATAGGATCTAGGAATTCCCATCATATCCCATGCGCTAAGAGGTACTTGCACAGAAACAGGCAGCGTCGCAGCATGATTCCACGACATCTCCTGATCTGGCAGACGCACAGCATGTTGCCAGGGGACAAGGCATTTCTCTTGGAAGGGGCCATAATCTGGAGCGCAGCCTCTCCAAGCAGAAGCTGAATATGCAGCAACACGAGTGCCGGGCTGGAAGCCATCATCATCAGATGGAACATTCTCGCCGACTTGTAGTACCAAGCCCGACATGTCGAAGCCAATGACGGTGGGATATTCTGTGATGAAAAGTCCTTGATCGCGCATGATGACATCTGCTGGATTGAGAGCGACGGACTTGACGGCGATGAGAAGTTCATCTGGTCCTGGCTTTGGAGTGGATCGAGTTTGGACTTGGAAGGGTTGGCCTTTGCCTGGGCAAACAGCGGCGAGATGAGTAGACATCTTGACTTGTAACAGATGATATCTGAGGAATGAACCGTAAATACAACGGGGCGATACATTCGAGGAAATTGTCTTCTTTATACGTAAATTACAGCAATTCCATGGAGTTTTCCTCAAATCACATCCATCTCTTCGCGATAATAACCAGAGTTCTTGGATCATCAAACCCGCCAATCAAATCGCCCTGCATCCGCAAACCAGTTAGCGTAGGAGACTCTTCCAACCAAGTTGAGGTTAGCGCATCGCGAAAACAGATCGTACCTTCAGATCCTGTCAGCTTGATCTCAAATTCTCTCAGTAACGACAACATTTCACGACTTGTGATGATTAGTAAAGCGTTGTGGAAATGTCTAATAATTGCGTGGACAAAATGCGCCCAAAGAAACCAGCGAGGCGGTCAAGATATGGCTGCCGTAATTGCAAGCTGAGAAAACTCAAGGTTGATCTCCCCGCACTCATTCATGCCTCAACTAATCTTTATCAGTGTGATGAGAGCAAACCGCGCTGTAAAAAATGCAGCTCATTTGGGGTCTTGTGTAACTTTGGACTGAACATCCCCGATCTTCACCCAATTACTCCCGACGCCGTGAAGGCCGTGATTCGTTGCAAGCCATCGCCTCAAAGACCTGTCGCGAGCGCTGTTTGGACGTCTGATGAGTATACCGTCTACCAATTGAATGCAAAATGTCAAGACTTTGCCACAAGATACTACGCGAGAAGTCTCTTGACGCCTGATGATGTGAACATGGTCGACGTCAATCAGAGATTGTTTAAACTCGCCTTCACTGTAAGAGCGACACGCTGAGTGTGTCAAGCCGGGCTAATTGGCATAGAACCCTTGCTTGATGCACGCTTCCTTAGCAGTGGCGCTCACATACGATCGCTATCTAAACATCTCATCAAGCTCTCCCCGGAGTGTAGAAGAATGCTATCATTGGTCTCAGAGCACAGCGCTCTTCAACAAGAAGCTACGCGAACCTGTCAAGACGCAGGACAAAGACCCGATATGGGGTACAGCAGCTGCGTTGGCCGTCTTGACGTTCTCGTCACCTGATGCATACAGACCTGAAGACTCATGGCCTCTAAAAACCGGCGTCGACGACCTGCATTGGGTGTCTATGATCAGTGGAAAGATGTCGCTATGGAATATGGTGGATCCTCTACGAAATGACAGTCTGTTTCGCGTCATGGCTGTTACGATTGCGCAGATGCAAGCGCCTTTACCAGAAACCGGGATAGTGGGTATACCAGAGGCCTTGGCTGCTGTTTGCCAATTGAACGAGACATCTACGTCGGAGAACCCTTATTTCTACGCTGCGCATGCAGTTTCGCGCATTCTTTATTTACCGGATAGTCAAGTCACAACAGGGCAGACCCAGCTCTTCACCCACAGAATTGAGGGGCCCTTCAAGGAATTACTCCTTTCCAGGGATCCCGTCGCGTTATCGTTGTTGTACATATGGTATCGCAAGGCAGGACGGAGTATATGGTGGGTTGAGCTTCGAGCGAGGGTGGAGTGCCCAGCAATCTGTCTGTATCTACGACGCTATCACGGGGATGATGTCGCGGTGCATGCCTTGCTTCAGAGCGACATCACACTTGGATGAGGTAACGTGGACTGGGTTGGACGACGTACTGCTACGAGGCAAGGGACAGGTCGCGCGATCGACTGGACTTGTACGTGTTGGGCAAGAAGATATGCCTCGCGCGTTTGTGAGCGCTCGTTCTGTTCTGCGATGATGAGGGCCGGAGGGTTGGGCAAACACTGGTCGATAAGCGCGGACGACTCATTCGCATTGCGACAATGGTACTCGGAAGCAGAGCATCGACGAAAGGCATTGTGGCAACGCGAAAGGTAGTGGCGCTGACTGGAGACACAGCACAGGCCCCTTCCACGATAATTGCGACAGTCTCCGACTACTCCTCGCTCCATGTTCTGTCGATCGGTCTCGGGGCTCAGGCTGTCATGGGCTCGCTCGATATCGAAAGGCAACGAAGGGCAATTAACGTGGCATCGATCTGGCAGCTTCGGGGGGGAAGGACACGTTGGGTCAAAGACTTGGTTCGGGGCGAGCGGAGCTGCGAGGCGCTGTGTCAAATGACGGTCGAGTTCTCAATTGCAGCGGCAGCGCGTCGAGTAGAGCAGCTCCATGGTGATGGCATGGCGCGCTTTGTACTGACACGGGCGCAGTGGGCACGTCCTCAATTTCGCTGTTAGGCTTCGTTGCTGGCATTCAATAGCCCTGGCTTGTTGCGCAAATCGAGCCATAAAAGATAGCACAAGGAATCGCCGTAGTTAGCGAAGGTCTTCTTGGTGAGCGCCGGCCCATTCGACAGCGCCAGACCGTGAATTCCCCACGATCAAAAAACCGGCCTAGCGTCACGTGCCCAGTCATGTGAGATCAAGTTGCATCTCAAGTTCGTCATTCGCATGCCTTTGTTCAAGGACGATAGAATATGAGGGTTGGCATCTCTGAAATGGATTTCAATACCTCAAATGACCCATGACCATACAACCCACCCTGGAGCGAACATGCAGTGCCGCTATCTACAAATTAATCACTGGATCTTCAAAGACCCATCCTTGGAGATCTGCTCCACAAACTCCCCAAAGTCCTTCAACAAATCCTCCGGCCTCTCCAGCGCAGCAAAATGTCCACCCCGCTCATGATCCCTCCAGAACACCAGATTGCCGGTCGTCTTCACCCAGCTCACAGGAATAGGAGCAAGCTCAAACGGGAACCAGCTATAACCCAATGGCTTGCTGATCTTCCACTTCGGGTGATCGTGTGCACCGGGATAATCTGGGTCGAAGCGCTGGCGGTATGGGAAGATTGAAGTAGGGAAGCTGTCTGTTAGCCAGTAAAGTGAAACTGAGGTAAGAATTTCCTCGAGCGGGGGATCTTCGTCACTCCAGCTCAGGAACTTCTCGCCAACCCAGGCTAGAAGCGCGAGAGGCGATGACGAGAGGATGAGACCGATGGTGCTTGGTCTTGTGGCGTGCATTAAAGCGTAGGCGGTGCCCAGCTTGTCAAAGTCCTTTGCGCGCTCGAGGCCTTTCTTTTCTGCCTCCGAGACTTCGCCCTGCGCTGTTGCGGGCTCAGCCATGAGGCAGAAATTGAGATGAGCGGCTATAGATAATGTATTAGTCGTCTTCTTCACCCTTAGGGACTGACCGCATACCTTTACACTCATCATAAATAGCTGCGAGCACGCGAGAAATTCTGCTTCCGATATCGCCTCCCTGCGCGATATAGCCACCTCCAAAACCCAACTGAACCATGAGGCTGTTCACGATGCGGGAAACATCTCTGATGCCAAAGTCCTTGTCCAGCGGCGGCTTATCAGAGAAAGCATAGCCGGGGAGAGATGGTACAATGACGTGGTAGGGGAGGGTATCTGGGGTATAGCGCTCCTTGAGAATGGAGAGGATCTTTAGAAACTCTAGGAAGCTACCCGGCCAACCATGGAGCATTACCACGGGGACGGCATCGGGCTTGGAGGAGAAGAGACCTGTGAAATGAATCGTGAAATCACCCTTCTCGTCTTTGATGGGTACAGTCCAGTGGTTGAAGGAATTAATGTGCTTTTCCGCAGCGCGCCTATTCCGAAGGTTAGCCTCCGCACTGTAGTTCAGAAGAGGATAGACATACCAGTCAAAGTTAAGCCAAGCAGCTTTCGCATCAGTCAACCACTGGTGACTAACTCCATAGTTATGCTCTTTCTGGGTAGATTCATAGGTCGGCGGTCCGACTCTTCCAAGCTTCACAAGCTGCTTAAGCTCATCGATCTTGTCATCCGCAATGGAGACTTTGTAGGGCGTTGGCTGGACCTGAGCGCCCGAAGGAATCTTTGCAAAATCGTCAGACATTTTCGAAAGATAATTTGTTTTCAGATGAGATGTTTTGATCCTTTTTTCCTGCGTTCGGAGGGGTTTAAGAAGTATTGATTGATATGTAGTCAGTAGGGCGTGGCAGTCTTGCTGATAAATATGACCTCATTTTTGTAACCTAGGCTAATCAGGGAGCCGCGGGTGGAGAATCATGCCGCAATCATGCCGCAGACAAGCCAGCCTGCAACCAGCCATTCCTGATCAACAACGCTATAGATAGCCTGGCCGCATATTCTATTAGCCATTAAGTTGCCTACCTAACAAATGTAAACAGTGTGATTTGGTGTTTTCGCCCATCTGTGGCCTGACAAGGGACAAACGTTGCTCCCTCTAGATGTCATCACATGCATGCTGGAAAAGATGTAACGTAGTCAAGATTAAGAACTGAGTCTTTTCAACCTTTCAGCAGGTCACTAATGAAACACTCTACGTACACCTTTTTGTTTAGTCTTCCGCATTCGGATCTACAAAGAGCTGCGAGAGCCAAAACATATCACCCTTGAATTCATTTCTCTTGACACGCTCAGCATTTTCGCGAAATTCATCCACTATTAAACTTAGCATATATGAGCCATGGAGTGGTAGAGCCATCTTACTTCTTCTCTGAACAATGGCAGACACGTACTTGACATACTTCACGCCGTCCTTGTCTAGTTCTCCAAGCTTCTTGACATTCTCTTTGTCCCAATCGAGCGTGAAGGGAACAGGGCCCTTGAGGCCGTATCTAAAGTGAGACACAAGGTTCTGGGCGGAGAAGACATATCTCTGCATGAATCTGTATGATATGGAATTATACGCCTCACCAATAATGTTATGCTTGCCCTGGCAGCTGTTAATACCTCTCGGAATTTATGCCAAGCGATGCTGACCGTGTTCAAATGCATCCTCCACCATATTTCCTGGGATTTATACACATACTGAAGATTAGTAAGTAACACAAAAATGGTTAGGTAAACTTCAAACCACTTGCTACGGCTGTGGCGACCCTTCAGAATCCTTTCTATTTCGGACATGATCTGATCCTTGATGCGAATCATCTCCTGGATCATGAGCACGTCCAACTGATGGTCAAGAACGGGAGGTATAGGGCATTGGCCATGATGAATCGAATTTGCGTCGTCAACAACGTCGATGTTGAAATCATTGTTTTCGACAATGCAGAAGAATTCCTGGGCCATGCGGGCTCCGACCCAAAGCTGCAGAGCCGACTTGACCATGCTGTTCTATCAAAAGCTATTGGCATATGCAGTCAACTCTGTCTGGACCACGCACCGGGTTCTTGGAAACATATCGAAGTGCTTCGTCGAAGGTGACCCCAATCAAAAAGTCCCCGGTTTGAGACGTCATATCTCGAGCATAATACTCAAAGTTATTGTCAACCCAGTCGAGCAGAGCAGCAGTGGTGGCTTTGTTTCGAATGCCGAATAAGCAGGTAACTCTAGGATTACCTCTTGCTGACCAGACCGCCACCGCTCCGCTGTGATATCTGCGGAGCTAGGAATAAACTCCCTTACTAGAACCTGTAGCGTTGGAACCCCGTCGCCCTTAGGCCAATTCGATGATACCTGCCCTGGTCGCATGAGGGTCATGACTCGAGGAGCCGAGGAAGGAGTCCAGTTGGGATACGGGCGAACGGTTGCTGTCTCTTGATTGAACTTCGAGTTACCTAACTCAAGGCGGAGTCAGAAAATGAGGCATCATCTCACGCTCGCGAATAAACTAACCGATTCTGAAAGCAATGGATTCACGAAGATTGAACCTTTCGCAAATTGCTTTGCACAAGTGAACCTCGCCACTGACTCGGACACAGTCAGAACAAGGAGTTTCTTTATCACACTGCAGTAGATAAATCATTCGTGTTCAATAGCAAGAACATTGGCTACACTTACCTTGAGGCTCTGGAGGCGGCATCGAAGGCATGCTCCTTTCTTGCGAACTTGGGCAATCTCTTTTCTCCTTTGATCATCATTCGGCTTCCTCATTTTCTTAGCTGGCCGTGATGAGCTGCTCTCGGGAACCTCCACCCTGAAACAGAACATAGATGAGGCCATCTTTTTCTCTATATCGTCGGGAGACGGCGATCGCGGTCGACGCCTTGCGGAATGCCCAGTTACAGGAGCGCTGCTTGTCACATCTCCTGATGCAGCTAAAGCTACAGTTTCGCACTCCCTCGATAGGACCACCGTCGGTTCTGCAGAAAACCATTCACCAAGAACTGGAGTGAGAGGCCATTGCGCATTTGCATTCCCCTCAATCCCAAGGCTTGACGAATTTCCAAGCTCAGGAGTCTTGTTGAGCATGGCATTAGAAGAGTGTATTAGTAGACGATTAAGGGCTGGCGAGATCAGATTGGTCGCATCCATCGGGAAGAGGCCATGGTAAAGTGGGTTTGGCTCATCTAGAAGCTGATCTGGCGTGGAGGTCGTGATGTCATTAAAGTCGAAGGGCGCAATATCATCGAAGAGGTCAGCCTGTATCAAGTCCAGGTACTGAATTGTGCTTGGGTGTGATTCTTGCAGTTGAAGATCCGTGTTTCCGGAATCATTGAGCCCATCTTGATCATCAAGACTGTTCTCAGTGTACCGTAAGGTGTCTCTCGCATTTCTGTTCATCATGAGCTCACATTCCCTGATTATTCTGATGGTGGAGAAATGTTCCATCACAGGACTGTGCTCGGTTACATACCGTTCACTGCTAGCAGCAGACTCATTACACTCTCACTCATCGCCTTTGGGCAGCAGCCAACTCTATAGTCGCCTGAGAGTGGAGTCGATGAGCCCGAGAAATCATGCTGACGGTTTGTAACACCAGCCATCATGTGCTCTGAAAGGCGCGAGGCGTAATGTGGTGTATAGTTAGTTGGTTGTTGTTGGAGGTGCCCACGTATTGAGCCAGTGAGTTATTACCTGCGAGCCAATGAGGCTCTTGCTTGTGATGGAAGGTGGGCGAGCGTATGCCGAACACCCATCCACAATTACAATTCTTGTTATACAAAAGATAAGCCCTGTTGCCTTAGGCCCCTAGTCTAGGCCTTTGGCACAGTGGTTTAGTTCAACAATTCTTAAGCGGGGATAGGGTATATGCATCTTCTGTGGCTGTGCGAGGCTAATCACGGCAGAAATCCGAGCTAACCTTTTTTGGCCAACGCTGCGGCGAGCCCCTGGTAGGCAAGCAGGCAAGGGAGGTAGGTAGGTGTTGGTGTTTATAAGTTGGCTAGGTTGGTTCCTGCCATTCAGTGCAGTGCGTGCTGTAGTCAGTCTTGTGA